GTATCGCGGTAACTCGTAACAGACAGACGCATAATTACGTACACGTCGAGACATGCCATAACAGTTCTCCGTGCATAATTTTCATACCATTTTCACGCCGAGGCGTTTTTGCATTTCTTACGATTTCCTATTCTATTCCAGGAAGTCCAGTTACTTGGAAGAGCACGCTTTTAAACTAATTCCAGATTCTTGAATGGAAACACCATTTGCAGCATCGGCATCTTTTTCCTGCTTCGATAATTCACGGTCTGAAAAACTTGAATAATGCTTCAATTCGAGACTCGATTTAAACGAAAATAAACGTGAAAATTGACCGAACGATTGCTTCCACTACCTATTACGGGAATTGTTAATGTTTTACAATGACTAGGAAAAATTGTTCGATCGCCACCAATTAGGTTTCTGAGAATCACAATTGCGTGCGTATGTCAAGCAATTTTTTTTTCCTCTGTCCATTTTCCGTCGTAACAATTTCCCATTTTCTTCCTTGGCGCGTATGGAAATGATTGTCTCCATAATTTTTCTTGGGTTCGTATAAAATCATACACCAAACAAAAAATAGAAATTATATGATAATGTCTGGGGAATGTGGCTCAAATATATATATATATATATCTTTTTTTCATTAAAGTCACCGCGATTGACACAGCTAATAAATCGTTTAAGCATTCATCGGCACCGAAGATGCTCGACGCGTCGGTTGATTTTTGTCGTTGCACAATCGTCTGAACGCGGTTAGAAATATGAACGACGCTTGTCGATTAATACGCGACGCAGCACGTGTTTTCTTATGCTAATCCGATGATGCAAGTTTTTGAAAAATTACCAGCCACGCGTTTCCATCTTGCGCACAGTACCTTTATCTGTGTCGATCGCAAAACTTGAACTATGAAAACGATTTGCATTAATGCTCGATTATGGAGCGGTTCATCGATATTCCATAGGGTGATTGGATTTCTTGGAAGCAGGGTTGTGCTCTTGTAATAATCTCACTCGATCACTTGTAATAATCTTTCCACTCGTTCGAACAGTATTCCTAAAGTACTTATATATTAATGAGTAGCGAATAGTCACGTATTCAAAGAGTATTTCTCAAGTGTTTACACATTACTCAGTATCGAATAGTCAAGTATTCAAGCAGCATTGCTCAAATACTTACATATTAATTAGTATCGAATAGTCAAGTATTCAAGCAGCATTGCTCAAATACTTACATATTAATTAGTATCGAATAGTCAAGTATTCAAGCAGCATTGCTCAAATACTTATTCATTACTCAGTATGGAATAGTCAAGTATTCAAGGAGGATTGTTCAAATACTTATTCATTATTCAGTATGTAATAGTCAATTACTCCCAACTATATCTAAATAAATTTCAATAGTATTCACACCGAATAATTGAACCAAGATATTCGAATATTCGAACAGAGACTACTCGAGCCTTTCGATAAACAATAGTCTATATTCTACTCAGTCTCGACAATTCTTCAGTTCCGGTTGTAATATCGTGGTTCGAATTGCAAGCTTAATTAATGTCTGTAAACTGATAAAACTGTCAGAGGAGAATACAATATACCGATAGTGATTGCGTAATCAGTAAGTAGTAAACGAAACGAAAAAATGTATATTGCTGATAATTGTTATCGTTATTGGCTTGTCTGTCTCGGTCGGCTGTGAAACCCTTGCATTATATACACATGATCGTTACGAAGAGCTGCATTCGTTTGCTCGGTCCTGTGTAGTACGAATATTATCTGGAGAAAGTAAACTTCGAGCAGACGACGAGTAATCTTCTCTATTAATCGAAGAATCGGGAGCGAGACTCTCAAAGACGTGAGTTGTCGAAAGAACAGCGTTTATCATTTCCACTTGTAACTGCGTGCGTCAATAACCGCTAAAAAGAAATACTGAAAAAATTCTGAATTTAGTCGCTCGCAAATTTCGATTGCGCGTAACAAAAGAAAACCCATTGTAGAAATCTAGTTTCACGAATGTCATTATATGACAATTGAAATGATGCAACTCCTCGACGTAAGACAACGCGAATATTCGGCAACGAAGAACGATTAATCTCGTGCGACGATGTTTATAAATAGTTCATATTTGCCTATGAAGATAATTCATGGATTATATATCGAGTATAGGACTTGTTCGAAATATTCTGCGAACAAAATATATTTTCTTTCGAATGTTTCCATTGAGCGATAAGAACGTCAACGGAAAAAAGAAATGCAAATGTAGTAATAAATTAAAATAACAATGCTCGATGATTGTATGTATTAAACAAAATGAGTAGTTTCAAGTCGTATCAAGCAGTGACCTAGAAAAAAAAGGCTTGTTGCTACACCATCGAAGCATTCAGTTTTCAAAGAAGACCGAACGTATAGCGAAAGGAAAGTTCTGAAATTTTGTTTACTCGCGACATTTGATCCACAGTAATAACGTTTCTACTTCATCTTCATGAATGCAACGAATAATACTTCTAGGTGAACAATGACTCCATCGATCGAGCCGCTACCAGTACTGAATTTGGACTCGGTTCTGGCCCAAAGTCTTGGCAAAGACGTCCAAATAAAGAACCTGGAATGGAGACCGTTAACCGCACCGGGTGACAACTTCGGGAGCATAATGTTGGCCGTCGACGTCACAGTGACACGAGCCAACGAAACGGAGACTCTGAACTTGGTCGCGAAACTTCCACCCACGTCGACCTATTTGCTGCAGTTGTTCAACAGTCCGGTAACGTTCAAGAAAGAGCTACTGTTCTACAGCGTGATGGCGAAAGAGTTCGAGGAGCTGCAGCTGGAATGCGGTTTGAAGGAAGAGTCCCTGAGCATCATCGCGCCCAAATACTTTGGCGGGAGGCTAGGTCTGCGGAACCCGGACCAATTCGACGACCAGGCGCTCATCGTTTTAGAGAATCTAAAATACAGTGGCTACACCACCGAGGACAGATTAATGGGACTCGATAAGAAGCACATAGAGTTCGCTCTGACCGAACTGGCCAAATTGCACGCGTTAACCATCGCTCTGAAGACCAAGAAGCCTTCGTTGTTCGAGAAACTAGAGGCGGAAGTGTTGGAAGACCCTGTAAACGAAACAGCGGATAAGTGCGTGATGGACATGATTCGAAAGGCGGAGGAAGACATAAAGGATATCGAGGAGGCGAAACCATACCTGGACCGCGTCACCAGGACCATCGAGTTTGGCGTCCAGTTGAACAAGAACGCGAAAAAACCGGAGGAACCGTGGGCAACGTTGGTGCACCACGACTTCTGGGTAAACAACATGATGTTCCGGCACGACGAACACGGAGAGTTACTCGACATGAAGATCGTAGACTTTCAGTTGTGCATGTACGATTACGGTGTCCACGACCTCATCTTCTTCCTCGTGTCCAGCGCGAAGAACGAGCTCCTGGACAATAAACTCGACGACATGATCGATTACTATTATTACGCTTTCGTTAAATTGCTGAAGACGCTAGGCGTGGAGACCGTGCAGTTCTCCAAGCAGAAGTTCGACGAGATCGTGAACGATTGCGCGCCGATAAGGTTCAATCAGTGCATCATGATGGCCCAAGTACTCCTGGCGCCTCGTGGTTCGACTCCGGACACCAACGAGATAAAGAAAGACAGCTTCCTGAATCGAAACGTCGACAATAAATACACGCAAAAATTGTTGCACACCGTCAAGCTGTTCGACGAGAGAGGATGGCTGATCAAGTAGCGTACCGTTAAAAAGATTCTTGCGTTGTTAGTATATTTGTTAAAGAATCGAAGAGAGCATTTTTATACGCGAACGTAAGTACAAATTCGTGGAAAACGATAACGAATGTTAATATGCACGTACATATCGTTAAAGTATGTATCGTAAATTACGTTTACAAGGAGGTAGCTGTGTATAGAGTAAATTAGAGATAGACAACGCGTAGCACCTAAGTCGACTAATCTCGAGAAAAGACCAAATATTGTTCGTGATATTCGCAACGCTAACAAGCTTTAAAAATTAGATATTTGTTTAAACGAATTAAACGTCACGCCCTATGTTCTACGATGTGAAAACTTGATTTTTCTTATATAATAAAAAGTGAAGCATTTTATGGAAAACGAAATGAACCGCGAAGAAAAACGCACTCGAAGAATGCGATCGCAGAGTAAAACGAGCACGCTTGTGCGAAATGTACACGGCATCTGCGATGTGTAAAGAGGCTTGCTGCCACATATTACTTATAATTCTTTGATTCGAGCGCTGGTCACGTTTCCGACTAGTCTGCGGTCGAATGAAATAGAGATGTCACAAACAGAATCTAGGTTTCTTCTGCTTGACACGGATTTCATTCTTTTTATAAACCCGATCAATTGGGTCAAGTAACCCGAGAATGGCCGATTAATTTCAAGTGCTGGCTGCTTGGTTATTAAACACCTGTGGAAAACGTACCGCTACGGAAATAGCATAGATGAAAAATATATATTGTACGCAAAAAGTAGAGCGGGGTACCGAGGGTTGCCAGCGAAGGCTCAACGTGTTGAGCCAAACGTCACGTCACATGCGAGGTAGCAAGCTATATCGCTGTATCTTAATTTCTTATCCTTGTTTCTTACACGCGCCTTCCTATACCAAGTTCTCCTACTAAGTTCCTCTACTATTCCTTAAAGCCGGCGACTGACTTGCAACAGAACGCTGTAATGTAACTGCTCGGCACGAATTTTACGGTTCGACATAAACGTTACATTACAAGGTCCTTTTTGGAGTCACGAATGCTCGCTTCGAAGTCTCGGCTGAATTCTCTCTCAATGCTTCCAACTCAGTTCAGTGAAAAGAAGCGCAAGAACGGCTCGGTTCGTCGCTCGCTAGTCCGCCAAACTAAGCGAATGCTCGCGTTACATTACAATGTTCTGTTGCAAGTCAGTCACCGGCTTAACACGTCGCGCGAGGCTCAACGCGGCTGATTTCGCTCAACTCAGGTCAACCTGGTGGTAACAGTGGTGGTACTCACCTCCAGGAGATCCGCCACCGTGTCAGGTAAGTTGAATTCCCTCACGACGCGCAGCCGCACTTGCCTGTTGATCTCGTGGCGCGACGAAAGCGGTAAACTGATCGCCCTCTGACAACTGGGGGACTGTCTCAATTTCTGCTCCCGTTTCATCATAGCTGCCAGGGTCACGGAATCTGGAACTTGAACATGACACAAGTATAAAAATACATTTGAAAATTACGGGACAACGCGCTGAAGAAAAGGCGACGATCAAAGGTACCTGGAAACGCCGCGGCGAGAACATCCACGCCGGCTGTGCCGATTGGTCTCGGTTTCTCGTCAACCATGTACAAGGCATCGGGAATATCGGCCACGTACCGTGGCCTTCGCAGTCTCACCAAATCTGCTTCTTGGACCATTTGTTCCTCAACTAAAGACTGGAAAAAGGAGGTCAGTATATATATACGTGGAAGTAAAGAAAGCTCCGACGTCGTTCGCTATAAATATCTACCTTTATTTCCTCGTAATAAGGCATGAACAGACGAGGCCTTACAAAAAATCCATTTTTCTTCCCTCCCCTTATCCAAGCATTCATACGCAGGTTCTCTCTCTCGTCCCCTATCATGTGACTCGGTGGGGTTGAAACCAATCCTCTTCTAATAGCCTAAACATGCATATTATTATTATTATTATTATTATTATCATCATCATCATTATTATTATTATTATTATTATTATGGTTATTGTTATTATTATGATTATTATTATTATTATTATTATACGATTAAAAATTTGTCAGATTCCCCTACGACTCGCACCTGAGCCAGCGTCTCGCTGTTGGGCGGTAGAATGTGATCCATTCTGACGAGTGGAAGAAGCTCGCTGAGTATCTCTCGTAGCTCTATGTCGCTCAGATCCCGTTTCTTCAGACCCTTCCTGGTCACAGAGTGCACCGTGTGACTGAGTAAATTAGGTTCCCGGTCTTCCATGCGACGCACCAGTTCCTGTTCTCCCCACTTGAGTACTGCCTGCAGTATTTCAAGCTCGCTAGCTTGCAAAAAGTGGCTTTGCAAAACGTTCACCAAGTGCGCGTGATCCAACTGATGGAGGATGGAGGAAGATGCGACCGGCTGGAATTCCTCTCGCAAGTAATGCAACGCTTGTCTGTGTACCCATGCGGATCCATGAGGTTGACTGCCCCACCTGTAAACAGAAATAATTAAGCGGCGATAAGAAAATAATTACATATGCAGATATAATTAGCAGTGGGACAGACAAGCGAGACTTCTGGTACGGGACAAGTAGGTCTTATCTCGACGAAACGTGTCAATTGCGGTAATGGTAGATTTAAGTCAGTGGCACGCCAAGCGATCTGTTATTAATTGCACTTTCTCAAACCCGTACGACTACTTTGAATTTAAACTTCGTAACCAATGTTTATCGGATTCGTGTTATATAATTTGCAAGTTATAGAGGGTTAATTTGACAACAGTTTACAGGAAACTCACTTCAAGACGGCTGGAAGCGATTCCAATGTAAGATATTCTAAAATAAGATCTTCACAACCCTGTGACAATATATCTAGCTCCAAAAATCTGCCGATTTGGTACAATTCCATTGCTTCCTCTAAGGGGCTTGGTCGAACTCGTCCGGTATGCGTGAGAGCTTGAACCTGAGAATAAATGTACAAATAGAATGTTACGAAAGAAAGAACGAACGGTAGCTTGCAAACACCGAATCAAAGCAATAAAAAGAATTGAGTAAAACATCAAGATTTATGAGAAGTCCCGATATTTATGAGGAGTAAACGTAATTACCTCTCCGAGACTACCAGCGCTGCTTCCGCAACCATTACCTCTCATTATTAACGATAAATCAACGGTATCTAAATACACTGCATGTAATAATACTCTGGCGTATCTTTTGGGTATTACACTCTCGTCCAAAACTATTCTAGTAGGTATATGAAGCGCCCTTTCTGTGTGATCTTCCCCCGATCTAGTCCGTCTTTGTATTAAGTTCCTGAAGAACGGAGATCTCGCAGAAAGTATCGCTTTATGACATGGCAGTTCTAACTTTGGCCGGAATCCGTATTCTGAACTTCCACTATCTGGTCTCTGGTAATCACTGTCCGACGTGAACACTAGCGCCGCGTCCGCGTAATCACCGGTGTCGAGCAAGTATCTGAGATCGTGCTCCAGCGGGTTAGGCGTGCCGAATTCTTCCCCCAGTCTTCGCAGAAGGTTCGCCTCCAGAGCTGCATCGTGCGGACAAATATCACCAGTGTAGAGATAACGCAGCAGGGCAGAGAACATTTGCACTTCGAGATTCGGCGTTCTCAGCTCCAGGCATATCCTAGCACCGTATCCTAAAAATCAGGACACATCGCTATATTCTACATCCCGCGATCTATACGACTCGAGTCTTCGAAGCTTAATTTCTTCGCTATTACCTCCTGATCCACGAAGCTTAAAATATTTCTTAGAAAAATTCATTTTCAGAAAAATCAGACGGTTGTTAATTCCATCGATTTCAGGCGATCGATCAAAGGCAATACGAAGAGATTTAACTCGATACGGTGACTTTTACGCATGTACCCGGACATCCAGTCAGCAGGTCCCTAAAGTACGGACAGCGCGCCGACAATAAGGCCCTGTGAACGGGGAAACACGCTCCTCGGTAGACGAGATCCACATCGGAGCAATGTTTGTAGTCGTACAACATAGACAAGTCCTGCTTGTACGTGGCTGCTGGTGGCCTGGCCAACTCGGCTTGGACATGGAGATCCTTTAACGCAGCCAGCGCCTCGTACTCCTCCAGGAGCGCCGTTGCCTCCAGGTGACTCCATGTCGACACCAGATCACGTATTATCCTACCGTGATCGCAGGCCTTCGAAGAACGACGTCTTCGAATGAACTTCTTGCGCAACGTCGCAAACCCCGTCATTTTCTTCTTCTTTTCCCTGCGAATAAATCTTTAATTAGATAATTAACTAGACGGATCCTCCTATTGTCCGAAGCAACATCGACTTTACCAGCGTCTCGTGAAAATACTATTTCATTAAATCTGTAGCTCGAAATAAATTCAATTATCTATCTCTTTCTTTATCGATCCCGTAATCGTTGATCTTGAATTCAAAGTGCTCGTTAAAGCAATCGATAGCATCGGCTGATAAATCGAGATGAAAAGACGAGATATAACGGCGATGGTAAATGTTTGAATACCTGATAGCAATGCCATGTTGATCAGGATTACCAGAAGATGAGAGCCTAGCTGCTTGGACCGAATCTCCACCTACACTGGTGATGCTTGACGATGCAGAAGCACCCATTCTATGTATCATGTAAGAAGCATCTCCACGCCGTCTTTTCACGAACCAGCAATCCCTTTTATCGGAATTATCTACCTCCTTTGGTCGTCTGCGTTGCAATACACACGGCGTCAAAATTCGGAATACATTCATTGCTCACCCAGAGAGCAGCCTGAAATCATTTTACCATTTTTATACGATAAAACGCCACTTTTTACATCCTTCCTTCCTTGTCCACATTACAATAGTAGCAAAAAACATACATTTATATATATATATATATATATTTTTTTTATATTTATATATATATACACACATGTCGAATTGAGTAACCTCCTCCTTTTTCGAAGTCGGTTAACAATTCGCATTTTGATCTACCAAGCAGTTACTACTAACGATCGTATAGTTTGATATTGAAAATTTTAATTTTTATATTTTATTTTTTTTTTTTTTATTAACGAATACTCAACGACTAGAAACTCGAATTGTTTGTACACCGAGTATTCTATATTTACTTTGCCATTAAAACTTTATCGAATGTTTTCTAACAATTATCAAAAGTTGTAAATATTAAAAAAATTTTTTTAGAGTACACGTATCGAGATAAATAAAAATAATTACTATGCCATATTTGCAAGCATGCATCAATACTTATACGATTATTGTTATCTTTATATGTAATTACATTATCTGAAATTACAGCATTTTTCAGTGTCAACGTTTCAGAGCGACAAAGCCAAAGTGCAATGAATAATAATACATAAATAATAAATACAATCGCAGTGGAGTATTAATAAGTTACATTATCGACGATTTCGACACGCGTGAACTTAACGTTCTTTATTTCCCGCAAATTATGAATTAAAATCTACGTAATTTATTTATGAATAATAAAATTCAAAATATTTCGTTTCTCGATAATTGTAATTTTACGAAGGTAGCATACAACGGTGCAGCGGTTTACCGAAAAATAACGAAAGTCGCCGATTGCATCTGAAACTTTCACTTTGTTAGCCAACATACGATATTTACCTAGAAAGTGTACTGCATTGATTTGGAAGCTCCTTTTAAACGGATATACCTCAATACTCGAAACTTTATTCGCCCATTTCCGACGATATTATCGAAGCTTGAAAGGAATAAATTTTTGGAAATCACAACATGTTAACAGATCCATCGGTTATTATTTTCTAATGATTACCTCATCGAGCTGTTCCAGAAATTAATTACCTAGCGAAAAGCTACAATGCATCTATGCGCAAGCTTCAAATAAGGACCATTTCGATCAAAAGTAATTTCCCTCGGGCAAGTACAAATTCAAAAAACAGTGTTTCCCAAACTGTGCGCAGCTAGACCTCAGCAGGTTCATAGATAGGATCTTGAAAGAAAAACAAAGGTCTGTTACAGCGAAATTAAGAAGATGGTTAGCCCTGTACGACTTCAAAAGACTTTGTGCAATTTTGCATCACGAACTAAGCCTGCTGCTTCCTTGCTTTATCAAAGTTTAAACGCAGGAAGAGCAAACATGCAACAGAACCTGAAAAATCTTTCCAAGATAGTACTAAATAAATTCTAGAGTATCGAACCATTACGTACTTCTATACTATGTATAGACATAGTATAAAAGTACTTTACATAGTAAAGTAGACCACTAAATTGTTTCATATTTATTTCTGCGTCCAGGCTAAGGCAAAATATCCAAAATTTAAATTAAAAGAACCAAGTGGAAAAGACTATCAAGCACATCAATGCATTTTTCCAAATATTGTTTAAATATCATCCAAAAAAAAAAAAAAAAAAAAACAAAAAAAAATATTCATAAGTTTCTTGGAAAATAATTTTAGAATCGAAGAAAATAACGATTTAATTTTTGTTTAGAGTTTCTCGTAGAGCTATCCCGGATCGAGGAGGTCCGCGAAAAGCTGAAATTTGAGAAACACTGATTTCGAACAAAATTGAAGATGAATGAAGAAAAATGCGCCGTGGAAAAAGCGATATTCCAACGGACAAGGACGTGCACGACACGAGGAACAAATAAAAGAAGAAAGAAAGAAAAAGAGCACGCGTTAGCTCCGTATCAAAACAGCCCAAGAAAACTTTAAGTGACAGCAGCACCGATAGGTCAATAGTAGTCAGCTGAGCTATGATTGCGATCGCGTTACGCGGTTAACAATGCGTATGACGTACGGCTGATGAAGTTCAGTCACCTTCGCGCGATTACGATGAAAAAAGGCACGGGGAACGAAAGGGAACACGGAGGAAAATGTATCTAATAACGTGCAGGTACGCGGATAAAGATAATCGTAAGACAGTGTGTCCCTTCGTGAAATTCCTAAAAAACAAATCGCTCTTTTCTTCTATGAATTACATGCTGACCGCCTAATCGATTACCAATCACGCGATCGAAAATCTCGAGGGGGAAGCGCAACAACGATTTTCAAAAATTCTGATCGGTAAATAAGAATTACAAGCCAGGGAGACTCCGTTACGAAAATCGACGATTTCGATGGAAACAAGGGATCGAGGAACGTTCGGATCGCAACGTTTTCGTTTACCTGGATATCTCTGGTCCGCGCATTCCGTCGTTATTTCCATTCCAGGGCTTCCTCGAGTGCAAACTGACACGAGTAATCATCACAGAGCGCGACCGCCATGTTTATGCTCGGTCGACTCGGTCTGCGGCCGTAAATAAAAGTAATCGCGGCAAGATGCTTTCCGTTGCGTGGTCCTCCTCCATAATCAACAGAAAATTGAAATTGTTCTACGAGAAACGGTCGTTCGGCCGCGTTGAACGTACACGGCCGTGCAGGCTGACACGCGTAATCGCTGGCACAGGGGATCGTCGTCCCGTACCGCGAAAACAAACCCCGACGGTGGTCATGCTAACTGCCACGGACGATATCGGAACGAAAATAACGCGCGACCGTTGGGAATGGAGCGTGTTTACGTTTCGCGACGGCTTTCACAGATAACAGTACATCGTTCGAGGCGTGCACACAGACCGACGGAATTTTTCTGACACAGAAAGATTCGCTTCTCGTCCGATCATGCGCGACCACGGCGATCCCCGGACTCCCCGTGACCGGAGCGTTATGTTACAGGTCTGGGAAAGCCTGAGAGGTTAGGTTTATCGGTTCCCTGACGGTATCGGGAACGATATCGGCAACAAACGACGCGTTGTTTTTGTTTAAACGAGCTCCACGGGTCCGGAACACGATTCTCGCCAACTGTTATCCTACGTTTCCATGGAACTAATGAATTCTTTCGCCTAAAGGTGGAGCCACACTGCAGGCTTCTGTAGGAACTATAGTTCCTATAGCTCGTGCTACACGGCGCGTTCTTTTCGCATCAATTTAAAACGCTATACAGGGTGTCCCAACAATGTTGCAACATTGAAAAAAAAAATCTTGCACGTTCCGGATCCTGAGGCGCATTTTTGAGAATTTTTTGTGTGTGTTTGTAAAAAATGAAAAACCTCAAAAAAGTCGGAAAAAATTTTTTTTCTCAGAAGTATGAAAACATGCTATTCTACTGTTAGGTTCCCTGATAAAGTACTATAACAGGCAGTGTCGTAAATTTTTTTTAAATTTTTTGTTCGGCCGCTTCATTGTCAAAAACAATAAAAACTCGCAGCAAAAACGTCGAAAGAATTCAGTTTTTATTGTTTTTGACAATGAAGCAACCGAACAAAAAAATTTTTTAAAATTTACGACACTGTCTGTTATAGTACTTTATTAGAGAACCAAACAGTAGAACAGCATGTCTTCATATTTTTGAGAAAAAAATGTTTTCCAGTCAATTTAAATCGAAACAGGTGTTCGTATGACTCGTATTTAATCAGAGAACAATCAAGTAAAGTTTTGTTAAAATTTCTTCGTTAAATAAATCCACGGTAACGTTTCTTATGATGGCTCCTGTAACAATTTGAATCGTGTCGTTATCGATGCACACGTCATGCAAAATTTCAGCTACACGAAAATAAACATTACCTTTATGATCTGTTCGATTGTATATTTAAATCCGAGGCGGAAAAGTGTTTTTGTAAATTCACACTGCTCCTGTCCTAAATCGACGAAAGAAGCACCTATACGCATGAATCATGACGTCACAAGGCATCATAGAGTGCATCCAAAAGGCCACCGATCGCCAAGCTGCTCTGTGAGCGGATGAGCTTGCAAATTTTTCATTCCCAAACGTAACAACCGCTGTCTGGTAGCAGCCAATCGCTGCATAAAATAATAAAATGGTAACCGCAGCATTTTTAAGAATGTAAAATAATTTTGAGTACCAGTGGCGCCATCGGTGGAATGACGCCCAACTTTGTAGCGAAACTAGTTCCCCAACATTTCTGCAAGATGGCGAAACCGATACCTTTTAATCAATTTTTCTTTATTCTTTCATAAATGCATCATTAATACGATTTTTTGCTTTCTAACACTACAATATATTAGTTCATGTGGCGCATTCGTCATTTTTATGCATAGTTATTTAATACAGTTATAATTATAGAGCCTTTAATTAGTGGCGGCATCGGTGGAAAAACGCCCAAGCTTGCATTTAAAATAGTTCCCTCCGTTGCTGCTAAATGCCGCCACTACCTAAAGTTTTTATATTTATTGCTACAAACACAAATATAAAATCAGATAAACATACAAGCGATATATTGTAACGTTATGAAGCAAAGGATCGTATTAATTATGCATTTATGAAAAAATAAAGAATAATTCATTAAAATATATCGATGTCGCCATCTTCAAGCTCTCAATGCCATTATGAATATTTCTATATCATTCAAAATATAGATATCATTAAAAATAAAATATACAATAGAAACGTATGAACTATTTATATAACAAATTTATCATTATGTCTTAAATTAAGACTCTTAATATGCTTTAGAGTAGACTCTAAGTCCTCATACTTTCATGTACTTGAAAACAAAACAAAAATTGCAGAAATTAGCTCATATTACTTAGTGTGGAATTGATAATGTCATCTGACCCTTACTGGCGATGTGCAGTTATCAATTACATACTTCAAGTAATATAGAGGGTCCAGGTCTCACCACGTGAAGGCTGCTACATATGGAGACCCACAGGGTGTCCAGGACAAAACCAGCCAGCTGATTAGCTAGCTAGCCACATCCTAACCACCCTTTTTAATCAAGCCATACTTCCCCCTGGCACTAACAAAAATCTACTTACTTGACACCAAAACTACCAAGACAAATGCGTACATACTACACATAAAGTTTACAACCCTGTCCACAACAACCAAATTTACAACCTTGTCCACAACAACCAAGTTTACAAGCTTATCCACAACAACCAAGTTTACAACATGTACACCTACACCTACAGATCTATACCTTTGACAGTAAAGCAACAAGAGGAAAAGCGTACAATGTAGAAAGCTTCTATGCAATAATCTACATATTTAAGACTAATGCAGTACTGCATCTACTACAATGTAATTAGTTTTCTGTTTCTCTCTCTTATCATATTAAATATTCATTATTCCTACCAATTGAGAGCTCTTTTTCTTATTTCTTATTACTATATTCTTATTACTATCTTACAAATATAATTGTATCTACACATTCCGCTTGCAGTAATATCTGAAGAAATACAAGAACGTAGTTGTTTGTTTCTTTCTTGTTGGAATCAACGATCCCACGAAGATTTTCTAAAACATAACAGCCTAACTGATAACAAATTAATTGTATTTACACATCCTGTCTGCGCTAATGTCTAAGGAAACGCGAGAGCCTACGTGGATCTTCTTTGTTGTAATCGATGATCATACGAAGAATTTCTGAAGCACAAACTGAAACATGTTAAACAGAATTTTATGAAGTTTAATTTTTCAGAAGCGTGAAGATTCCTCATTTAGATGAATATTGGATTTCCAACTCGTCGCATTCCGCTTCATGATTCTTCAGATCTTGTCAAAAATATGGATTTTGTCTCTGCAACACAAACTCGTTTAATGGATTAGGAGACATAACATACAAACAGAAATACGACAGCTGAAAAGAACCCTTGTTAGTACAAACGTATGCGTATAAACCACTCGATATTGATCGAAAATATGTTAATAATAATAATTTAGTAATAATTAATTATTATAAAATTATAATAATTATATTATTATTAATACTTTCAATCTTTCATCTTGGCATTGATATATGTTAATGTAATTCGAATCTATATTTAGTTGATAGTCATATTTTGAAATCAAATGTAAATCATTTTTATATATAAAAAAAAAAAGATAACGAACGCACGTAATAACTCTACTTCAAGTTTTTCATATCGATACAAAGCGTCGAATTGCGAATTGCGTACTTTTTTAGCGCAAGCTCTTGACTCGTCATCAAATTAAACAAAGATCGTGTGCGAATTTCGATTATGCAACAAATGTCCAACATTTACGAAAATATACTCTACTTTATTACTTCAAATGTTTTGCAAGTTAACGGTAGTTAAAAAATAGACTATATCGCGTAGCAACTCTAATAATAAATATTCTCAAATAATATTAAAAATCAAATAGTCTATCGTAATCATCGTATCACCGATAACATAGTAATTTTTTAACATATCAAATATGTAACCAAGAAATGTTAAATAAAATATATAAATTTCCACGATATGATTACACTTTACAGCAGTATTTCTATTTTCGAGCAGTCGATTCACGATTCCCCACAGTAACCTGCAACAGAACAAACGTAAATTATTCTCCGTTCTTCAAATATTAATAACAAAAATCCGTAGATGATCTCCTGTTCTTTCCCTAACTAAAAATATGAAGTTACTTCGAAACGGACGCGATGTATCGGACGCAACACTAACAGCAAACGCGAATTCATAGTTATTCGCAACACTACCCTGAAAGAAAACGCGAAAGATGCTGATCGAAAATCTGTAAATCACTTCAAAACTTCTTGAAATTCTCGAAAAGATGTCTCTCTTGATGTGATACCCACTTTTTTCTTGGTAAAGTAAATTTGGTAGGGTACTCCTTCTAGTGCTGCTTCTGTTCTCGCGGGGTCTACGTAAAGTAACGCCCGCGAATATTGGTAGCCATATTTATAACCTGTTCTCCAAGCAAGTTAGTCTCCGATTGGCTACAAGTTTTATGGTGGTGGAGAACAGGCAACTCTTAATATGTCCCCCCTTTTCGAACAACCCATGCGACGTTAGGGATCCACTCTCTGTATCCCTCCCAATTCAACCCCCCCTCGATCGTTTGCGCACGCGGTTTAACGTTTGTCGACAAACTTCTCCACCACCATAAAACTTCCAGCCAATCAGAGACAAACTTGCTCGAAGAACAGGGTATACATATGGCTACTATTATTCCCGGACGTTTCTCGTTTATAAGTACATGAAAGTATGGAGACTGATATTATTATAAAAGTCTAAAATATAGAAGATATAACGAATGTGATATAAATATCTTATTCGTCTAATTAAAAGATAAAGAATAATTAATTAAGAATTTATTGGTGGCGCCAACTCATAGAAACTGTGAGAACTATTTTCACTAGAAACTTGGGCATTTTGCCATCGATGCCGCCACCGGTACTAAAACCCGCTCAGTGAGCGACCTAGTGAGCGATGACATTTCTGAATACACCTATTGTTTATATATTTCGAATAAATTAAGAAAAAACACTTTTTACATGGAAATTGACTATAATTTTTTTTAAATTTGTATGAAATTTACACATATGTTATGTAAGATCGTAAAGAAGGAGGGAAAGTCTTGGTAACTTTCTCCTCGCGCATTCGACATGAACGTGTTACTGTCGAATTTCAATATTTATAAAATTGCAGCATTCTAGATATCTGAATGTAACACTTTAGAAATGCAGATTTTTATCAATGAAAAAGTACAAATATCATACAATAAACTTATGTTCTAGGTAAGATTATTTTGCGAAATTCCAACACGTTGCCTATAAATTTAAGGTGATAAATGGAATAGGTTTCTTTTTTTTTTTTTTATTAAATGTATCTAAAATTCCCGAAATAAATTCAAAGAAAGGCAGAATGCATCGCGTGTCGATCTGACTATGCAGAAAATGAGATGAAGTAAAAAGATAACAATTATCTCTAGATCACTGTTCGAATAAACATGGCGAATTCGTAAAAATGGGTTGACTTATTATTACGGGTACTGTGATTTGGGTTATCAAACATACGAAATGTTCCCCATAGCGTGTTACGTTCGCACGCGTTAGTCGAAACATTCGTAATGCGCAAGTCGCTTAATAAATATGCGATTTGTATTATCATTGTGTC